AACAACAACGTTTGTCAGGCATCTACATTGTCATCTGAGGAGATTACAAAGATTAAACGAGTGTTTTTTTTTTTACTCGAAAACATGAAGTGTGGAGTTAACTGCTTTTGCCAAAAATCGACTGTTGGGAGTTATCTGCTTTTGCTATAAAACAAACTTTTAATATGTAAAAAAAAGCATACTTTCAATGAATTTTAATTTTGTAAATTACCTGTATTTGTTTGTTATTATTACTTAATCTAAACAACCCAGCTGCAGTTTGATTGATATTACTTGAAATGTGCAATAAAAAAAATTTGATTTCTGAAAAAAAAAGTTAAAAGATAAAAAAAAAAGAGTTATCGGTTTTTGCAAATGAACTCTTCATATAATGTTAAATAATAATCATATAATATAATAAATATATATATATATATATATGCTTCATATAATAAACTCTTCAAGTTTAATGTTAATTTATATAAATACTAATGTTGATTGTTATTTCCTATTAATACATTCACTAATATTCAGTTACACAACTTGAAATGTTGTATTAATTTAGAAATAAAAATTAACCTTGATTGATAAATACTGTTTTTACCTTTTCCTTCGATGCTTCTAATGACACCATAGTCCCTATAGTATGCTCATTTGATAATAAAATGGGAAGCTATAACTCCAAAAAAAAAATAATAATGATGAGATCACTGTAATTAGCCAATAGCTTATAACACTTCCACCATAGATGAGGATGCAAAAACAGAGAGGCAGGTCCAGCGACGGTTCCTCACAGCAGGGTTGACAACCTCCTATGTTTGGTTTGGCTGACAGTAGCACCCCAATGAAAGAAAGCATTGAGGCAGACTGGTGGAGATATAGTCCTGTCTAATCGCTGGCTACAAATTCATGAAGTGAACTACTTTATAGCTTGGGCAGTCTCATCTAGCCTGTAGGCCTTTGCATGAAGCAGACAGTTAAATTAACTACTCAGGTTTTAAGAAATTAAATAGAACATTTATGAGCAGTCTCTCAATCGTTATTTGAAGATGCTGC